TGCGTGCGTGCGTGCGTGCGTGCGTGCGTGCGTGCGTGCGTGCGTGCGTGCGTGCGTGCGTGCGTGCTTGCTTGCTTGCTTGCTTGCTTGCTTGCTTGCTTGCTTGCTTGCTTGCTTGCTTGCTTGCCTGCTTGCGCGGTTGATTGGTTGGTTGGTTGCTTGCTTGCTTGCTTGCTTGGTTGGCTGGTTAATTGGTTGATTGATTGAGGCCCATGAGATACAAGTGAGAGAACTACGGCTGGTAACGATGCAAGAACCTAGCACCCAACACTCTGGACTCTACGCAATCAGGGCATCCCTAGCTCAAGCAGAATCTCGAAGGAACAAACCGACAAAGCGTTGAAAACCACTGCAGTCACCTGTCTGAAGCTTGCAATTATATTCTGCCAGATGATATAATATGCAGCAGCATTTGTAATACATGAGGGGGCTTACAATGAGTGAACATGGCACGTCTAATCGATGTTCCCCATCCTCCACCCACGCTTCGTGCAGAAGTCGAGCACCGGCTCAATGATGATGCATCCAAAGGTTGCCTCGTTGCAAGAGACACCGAGCCCCCGTGACTCGGTCAAGCCTTCAAAGTTTTCATGGACTCCAAGACTCCAAGACGCACGACCCTAGCATGGCAAGGGCTATAATTACAGGTGCTATAGGAGGCTTTTCATGCTCCAACGCGCGGCCTTTCGCGGCCTGGTCGGTAGCAAGACCCATATGAGGCTCAGCTCATTGCCCCAGAAGGCACCACGTTCATGGGCCCTGACGAGCGGAGCCGTGTGCCGACAGGGCAAGTTTTGTTGTTGTACAACCTAGGTCGGCCGGGTAAACATGACGGCGGCGTTATCTCATCCCCAAGGGCTTGGACTGCAAGTCCTTTATCGGCATGGATCCTTTTAAGAAATCATTGCTTCGCCAATGGTGACTGCAGTGCGGCAAGGCAGAGACTGTGACTCTGCGGTGGCAAAAAAATGGAGTGCATCATATTTTAATCGAGGCCACAACAGCCATTCCTTGCGCTTCTAGATCCCCAGAATGGAATACGTTACTTCTTTATCCCTGGGGCAGAAGGCGTTAATCAGAAGGTCCCGGGAAAATATGAAACATTGCCTTAGAAAACAGGCATCCATCTACTCACATCGGGGGGGCTTTGCCTTAGAAAACCTCCTCAACGGAGTCTGCTTCATCAATGGCCGTACTTGCCGGCGCGGGCGCGGGACTACTCCAACTCTGCAGGCCGATGCTACCCGGATCCTTCACTTCTGGCTGCCTTACTATATTCGGTCCCGTGCTCTCTCTCTGCGGCGGCGAGGGCGAGGAGGGGTCGAGACTCCGGTATCGGACCCGGTGCAGGGTGAAGCTTCCACTCAAAGTGACGCCAGATGCCTCCTCTACCAAAAAGTCGGCGGCCTGGAGAATGTTGGAGTGATCAACGTAGGAGCCGTAGCGGAGGAGTGCCTGGATCTGCTCGTCATCCAAGCCTTTCAGCAGATCCATCAGTTGGCTAACCGCCGCCTGCACCCTTCCCACCGTCTTTTCGGAGCGCCGCTGCGCCTTTTTGGGATTGAATAAGGCCCAGAGGACGTAGAGAAAGACAGCGGCAATGAAGAGAATGCAGAGGAGGATGCAGCAGAGCATGATACCACCCAAGAACTGGGCCCTCTCGCGATCAAAGCCCTCGAAATCCCGGTCGCCGATGAACCAGGAGCCCACACCCAGGATCATGATCAGGAGAGCTAGCTCGGCAGTCTCCAGGTCATTGGCGTACCGATCCGCAAAAGGCAGGAGGCTGAGGTGCAGGCAGATGCTGAAACTTAGGACCAAGAGCGTCAGAATGAATTGGGTGTGGCCGTCCGAGGGCTCCACCACCAAGACCAGGGCCAAGGCAAGTGAGCGTAGAAGGAAAGGAAGGCCATACCACCAGCGGTCACTGCGATATTTGAACCAAAACCTGGGTCGGTTTAGGGTGTCGGGTTTAGGGTTTAGGGTTTGGCGTGCGCGGTCTGCGTAGGGTGGGTTTGTGTTGGAAAACAAGAAATCTGAAAGACAAGACAGCGGGACAACTACCGGACCCTATAGAGGAACCAGCGCGTGGCCGTCTGAAAGTTCACGAACTTGCTGGAGTACTTCGGGGCAAGCCTCGCAAGTACCAGCACAAGGGCAAGGAAGCCAACAATGTAGAGGAAAATGGCCAGGAATCCCACTGGTTTCATCGCCTGTCTCGTCTGGTTGGAGGCACACCACTTTAAGAAAGCAACTTATCCAGTAATCCTATAACCCGCGAGCCAATTTGCGTCCGAGGAATGTTTTCGGGCTTGCGGCACGTGCATGGATGGAAAAACCTGTGCAAGAGACTTGGTTGGGAACATGGCCACTTCAGAGGTGCCTTAGAATGGGAGGAGACCAAGATCCAAGGCCTCAATTCACGAAACTTACAGAGAAATCCTCTCCCAAAACATAACCTCTTTAGCGGTGATCAAGAACAATACTGCAGAAAACTATATGGAGTTTGATCTCATTCTCTACCCCTGGCATCCTTGAATCCGAACCTTTTTTCGAAGGCTGCCTCGTGCTCCTCAGAGCCGCAAGCACTGAAGGGGAACTTGCGCAGCACCTCCTGGCGGCGATGACTAGCTGACTACTCAATCCTGGTTCCATACGTGAAGGGTTCTAATCGCTCGCACATGAATCACTGGATCGCGGATGATCACAGATCCATCCCCCATCATCCGGCTCCTCATCTCTACTGCAATGCCAAAAGTTTCGCCACCAGAGTGCACCAAAGCAAACATCTCAGCCATTGCTTGTAAAATGTCCTATGCACCGTATTGAAACTCGTCCATGAGAGGCTTCGGCGCATCATACCCTAAACCCAAAAAACACATAACCCTTCACCCTTGAAGTGGATCTTTTTGACAAACCAGCGCTCCTCACCATTAGGGCTAGCTGTGCACTCGAAGAGGCTGACAGAGGAAGATGCGATGGAGATGTAGATGGTTTGGAAGAAGAGGCCATAGGAGTTTAGAATGCTGTAGATTGAGAAGCCGCGAACACGGCCGCAACAAGGGCGAAGCAACTGGGACAGCAGGTAGAACGCCAGGAAGATGCCAGCAATGACAAGTGGGCTGAAGACCTGTATCAGAAAGGACAGTGACAAGCTATGGCTGAGGAGGCAGTCGACGCGGAGCAACTCAAAGTTGAAGAGGAAGATAGCAAAAAAGTCGAGGATCGCCTTCAGCTCAACCGGCCAGTTGATCTGCAGCTTGCCGAAGATGTTCAGGGTCTGCACGAATGC